GCGCCGGGCGCAGGAGGGGACCCGCTGAGGGCCCCGGTGACACCGCGGTGACAGAGAGGACACGTGGCTGCGGCCTGGGGACATCGCGGGGACACACCGGTGACATAAGGGACACGTGGATGTGGCCTGGTGACATCATGGAGGCACATCAGTGACACAAAGAATACACGGACATGGCCTGGTGGCATCGTGGGGACATGTCGATGGAGTAAGGGACATGCAGACACAGCTTGGTGACATCACGGGGACACACCGGTGACATAAGGGACGTGCGGATGTGGCCTGGTGACATCACAGGGACACGTTGGTGACATAAAGGATGTACAGATGTGGCCTGGTGACAGCATGGGGACACGCCAGTGACATAAGGGACACACGGACACGGCCTGGTGACATCATGGGGACACATCGGTGATACGAGGGACACACCGACATGGCCTGGTGACATCGTGGGGATACGCTGGGGACATAAGGGACATGCGGATACAGCCTGGTGACATCACGGAGACGCGTCAGTGACATAAGGGACACACAGATGTGGCCTGGTGGCATCATGGGGACATACTGGTGACATAAGGGACGTGCAGACCTGTCCTGATGCCACCACTGGGGACGCGTTGGGGACAGAGGGGACTTTGACCAGGGCCCGCGCAACCCCTTGGGGACACTTGGTGCCACCCGCGATGTCCCCAGGCTCCAATAAACGGTGCTGGCCCCTCCCCGTGCGGCTGCCACATGTTTGTCCCCAAGTGCCACCGGGGTGTCACTCGTGTCCCCTGCTGCCAGCCCTGGGTGTCCCATGTCCCCGAGGGCTCCCATGTGCAGCCCCGCTGTCCCCAAGTGCCACCAAGAGACTCTGGGTCACCTAGTGCCACCCAGGTGTCCTGTGTCCCCAAGTGCCACCAGCAAACCTGGATGTCCAGTGTCCCCTAGTGCCACCCAGGTGTCCCTAAGCACCACCCAATGACTTGGAAATGCCACCCAGGTGTCACCCGGATGTCCCATGTCCCCAAGTGCCATCCAAGGACCCAACTGTCCCATGTCCCAAAGTGTCCACCAGTGATTTGGTGTCACATGACCCAAAGTGCCACTCACCTGTCTCAAGTGTCACCCAAGGACCCAACCGTGCCATGTCCCCAAGTGCCACCCGATGATTTGGGTGTCACACAGCCCAAAGTGCCACCCAGGTGTCCCAAGTGCCACCCCATGACGTGGGTGTCCCATGTCCCCAAGTGCCACCCAGTGATTTGGATGTCCCATGCCCAAGCGCCACCCATGGCCCTGACTGTGCCATGTCCCCAAGTGCCACCCGGTGTCCCCAGGTGCCAGCGCAGAGCAGACAGGCGGGGGGGGGAGGGGACATTTTATTGAGGGGGGGGGGTGTCACGGGATGGGGCTGCAGGTGACACCGGTGACACCGGGGGAGGGGAGGGGCCGGTGACACAGGGGGGTCCCGGCTGCAGCTCTCACTTCTGCTGGGGA